CCCCCCAAACGATGATCTGCAGCTAGACACAAACCGCCAATGAAATAAACAAATTTTAACATGGCAAACTTTGTGCAATCATGGCCATTTATAGACGGACAATTAATTGAATGTACAGCATGATTTCAATTGAAGTTTTTTTTATCTTTTAGTTTAAAAATAAAAATTATAACGTACGTCATGACTTTTTAGCTTTTGTTTTCTTCATGGCTCTGTACATTTCAATCAGTTTTCCTTGCTCATCTTCGAGCATTTTTCTTGTAGCTAGTGGGAGTTTCTTCCGTTTACCACTCAGTGCAGGTTTCTCCACTTTACCCTCAGCAACTTTGGGTACCTTCAACTCTTTTTCGTTATCGACTCTGTTATCTGGTAGCAGCGATTTCAACAACAAATTCGACTTTTTACCAGGCTGAAAGATAAAAAGTGAACACATACATACATACATATGTACTAAACAAACTAAAAAAAGTTTTCCTACTCTGGGTACGGTGTCGAACTTTTGTGCCTTTCGAGGCAATGTTAAAAGCGAGGGAGGTGCGTGTACCACTTCCCCAAATCGGAAAACGTCTTGCTTGTATTCTTCTATATCCATATTCGCTTTTGCTTTCTGCAATAAACATGAAATTAATTCTCAATTCTTCCTTGCGTTAGAAGAAAAATACCTCTTCCTTATCTTCCTTAATGGCCTGTTTAATTAATTCTTTCGCAAGCTCGGGATTCAAAGGTTTTAATGTTGTGTTTTTTGCATTTTTTCTCTTGCCTCGACTCTTTTGTTTTTCTTTCAAAAGTTCATCGATTTCATTTTTCGGCTTTTTTGTAATAGAAATTTCTCCGGTTTTAGGATTCCTAACAACATTGACCCCATATTTGGCTTCGTACTGCGCTTCCCGCAAAGACTGGGTGGTTACTCGGTTTACCCGCTTTAAGTAATCTTCATCGGTTTCATCTCTTAACTTTTGTATGTACGTGATTTTTTTTGAATTTGTTGCATTATTTTTGGGTCTATCTTCCCGACCTTTGTGTATACGTTTGATTTTCTTCCCAGCTTTTGTGTCATCCACCAATTTCTTAAATTGTGCGAATTTAAATGATACTTGCTGACTGTCGTGTTCTGGAGGATTGTTTGTAACTTTACTCAGTCTGCAAACATACATATGTTGTATATCATATGAAATATCTTGTAAAATTTGTAATAAGAATACCTTTTCTCCTTCGCTTCCAGTTGCTTAAGTGGATCACGGACTCCATGATGCTTACGAGCAGGAATTTTTCTTTTACGTGCCATTTTTTACAATTAATAGTTGCATTCCCTAAATCACATGTGTTTGTTTATATTCTTCTTCTTCAATTATCAACGTCTTCTGACATTAGCTGTTCCACGTTCCACTTAAATGTCAAGCCCAAGGCGAATTTAATGTATAAATCAGGGATGGAATTCCAAAATTTCAAAATGTGCCTAATGGACTGCAAAAATCAATGCGAATTTATACAAGGCGTTGTTACTGACGAATTTAGATTTGCGCCGCGGTAGTTATTAATGTCAAAATAGTGTGTTTGTTGTAATATGAATTCGCCTTGTTTATCTACCCACCTTGTCTAATTTCGCCTTTTTTAGAACCACATATGTATTTTTGGAGATAGTATTTTTTAATGTACTTCATTGAATTAGTAGAGTAAAATCATAGTAAAAAAACACAATATCCCAATGAAGAAGGGTGAAAACACTGAATTATAACTTCTCCGACCTGTTTACACATATACATACATACCTATGTGCGAAATAATAGCAGTTCGACATTTTGACCTGTTTTGACTATTCTTTACATTGAATAATTATTATAAATTTTATTTAATTACCCTTATTTTAATTTTTAAGTGATTTTAATTTTCACTTTTCGAATCTATGAGTAATATGATTGTTTGTTATATACTGGCTAAATTTCTATAATTTATGATTGTACCAAAACTGAATGAATTATGCCAAAAGTGCACTTGTAAATGAAAGTACCAAAAATGGTACTATTGTGCCTACTTTTCCATCATAGGTATAAATTCGCCTTGGGTCAAGCAGACATTTTTTGTGATTTTTCCCATTTCATATTTCTCGATTAATGATCGATTAATCAAAAGGAATATCAGAGAACGTAAATTAAATTTTACGTTCTATGTGAAAACGACGAAATGAGTAACAAAACAAAAATAATTTTCTCTAAATTTTATAAACAAAGTGCTAGTTCTACAAAATAAAACACCCGAGAAAGTCATTTGTTCTGCGACGTAGTATTGTTCTTAATAAACTGGAACTTTAAAAATACAGTCAAAGCCAGCGTGCAGATAGTCGGAATATACAATAAACTAATCACAATTATATAGAAACAATATTGAGAAAGATTAAATTCATTAAATCATATTGCGACCCATGTGGAGGTGAATTAAAGCAAACGAGTATCCCTGGAAGTGACTAAGAAAAGTATACACCCGTTTCTCGAATAAAGGGTGGGAAAATTGCACTCGGTTAGATTTTAGTACAAGGGGCAGTTTATTACACGCATCGTTGGAAAAAGCTTCAAGATGGTTGAACCCATTTTCGACTATCAATTTCGTCTAATTCTTATTGGCGACAGTACGGTGGGCAAGAGTTCGCTCCTCAAATTTTTTACAGATGGCAAATTTGCAGAGGTAATTGTCCTTCCATAACAATAAAAATAAACTAAAAGCGCAAAAACAAAAAAACATGTAACTTACATAATTTAATCAGAGAGAAATGATGCGAGAAATTATTACATGGTTAATAAAAGTTTACCCAACCTTCTGATAGCGCAGAATAAGTGAACCTACTGGGCTGATAAGCCATATGCTATATGTGCTTATGCATGCAAGCATATATGTATAAGTATGTGAAGTTGCTCCTATAATTTTTAATTATTGTGTTTCCCCATTGTTCACTTTTTCTGTATATTGCATACATACATACATACATATGTATATATAAATATTTATATGCATTTATGCTGTTTTCATTGTCTGTCTTGCAGCTATCGGACCCTACCGTAGGAGTGGATTTTTTTGCCCGCTTAATAGAAATGAAGGATGGTACGCAGATAAAGCTCCAACTATGGGATACGGCTGGCCAGGAACGTTTTCGATCAATTACCAAATCGTACTATCGAAACTCTGTTGGAGTATTGTTAGTATATGACATCACTAACTATGCTAGCTTTGAACATATTCCGCTTTGGATGATGGAGGCTCAACGTCACATTGAACCACATCGACCTGTTTTTGCGTTAGTTGGTTGCAAGCTAGATCTTGTTAACGCAGGCGGCCGGCGTGAAGTAGGCACTGATGAGGCACAGGCTTTTGCAAAGCAACATGGCCTACATTTTGTTGAGACTTCAGCCAGAAATGGCGTTAACGTGGAAGAAGCCTTTCGTATGGTGACACAGGAGGTGTATGCACGAATACGATCAGGCGAATACAAAGTCGAAGATGGTTGGGATGGTATAAAAACTGGATTTGCCAGACCAAATAGTTTAGATTTTAATTTGGTTATGGCAGAACCTGAAAAGTCATCTTGTTGTTGATGTGATTGTATTCGATGGGCTTCTCCTGTTGGGGAATGGTATAAATATTACGTTTTCAAGATTATAGAAGACTTAATTTTATTTTAAATGAAGGTTGAAATTTTTTTGGAATTATTTTATATAGAACATACATATACATACTCAGGC